CTCTGGCCTTGAGTTGATAACAATAGCAATTAGCATTTATGGAACCTGAGCTGTTATTAGGCACTGTACTGAGGGATTTATGTAGGGATTTATGTTCACGATCTTAATTATTCCCGGTCTCGATAAAGAAAGTGCTGTTACTTCCGCCATTTTACAGATGAAGAAAATGAGTATTAAAGAGGTAGAGTATCTTGCCCCAGGTTGCACAGCTAATAAATGGCAGATCTGGGCCTCAACCCAGGCCCTCCTGACCTTGGAGCCCATGTACTTCATTCATTCATTCATTCAGTCAGTCAGTCATTCAACAATAAGTGATTGTTCATAACATGGCCAGCACTGTTCTAGACCCAGGGGATACAGCAAAGGAAAAAATTAAAAGCAAAAATTTCCTGCCTTTAGTTCACATTCAGATTTGGGGGGATAGAAAACAAAATAATAAAATACACATTATCCAATATGGTAATAAGATTATGGTGAAAAATAAAGCAAGGAGGTTGGCTAAGAAGTGTTAGGAGAATTTTAGAGTAGTCAGAGAAGGTCTCGTTGAGAAGGAGACCAAGCTGTTAGGTTAAGTAGCAAACAAACCCCTGAATCTCAGTGTTATCGACCCAAGAAAACATTATTTCTTGTACAGAAAAATTCCAGTTTGGCTGCTCCTTCTTTGTGGTTACCGAGGGACCCACATTCCTTATATCTTATGGCTCTGCCCTCTTTAAGGCCCTCAGATTGCTTTCCATTCAGCTGGAGGATGAATAAGAAGAGAGATGGTCTTGTGGGGAAGTTTTTGTATTTTTATTAAATTTTTTTTAATGTTTATTTATTTTGAGAGAGAGAGAGAGAGAGAGAGAGAGAGAGAGAATCCCAAGCAGGCTCTGCACTATAAGTGTAGAGCCCAATGTGGGGCTCCACCTCACGAACTGCAAGGTCATGACCTGAGCCGAAATCAAGAGTCTGATGCTTAATTGACTAAGGCACCCATATGCCCCTTGTGGAGAACTTTTTATGGGCCAGTCTGGAAGGAGCACACATCTGTCCCACCCTTTGGTGAGAACTCAGTCACGTGTTTACTTCTAACTACAAGGGGCTGTTGGGAAATAGAGTCTAGCCATGTGCCCCCAAGAAAAAAGAAATGGGCTTTTGTGAACTCGTACCATAGTGTATACTGTAGCGAATGAAGTGAAGAAGTGAGTTGTGTGTTTAACTGGGGAAAGAGCATTCGGGTATAGGAACAGCAGGGTAAAGATGGCCAGGGTGGCTGGAGTGTAGTGAGGAGAAGACAAGGAGGGGGGTGGTAGGACAGAAAGCAAGAAGAGGAAAGTCCACATGGCAACGAGGAAGTGTGAGGAGACCAGGTTGAGAATGAGGGTTCTAGCTTGGGCAACCAGCTAAGGCTGGGAAGACCAGGAGGAGTCTATGATGCAACAGAACGGGTGCCTTCCAGGCATTTTAGAGCACATCTGGAAGACTGGACTAACTGTGCTGTCCTTCAGGGAAGCCTCCATAGCGCTAAAGGTCTGGCTGCTGTGTAAAAATCCAAGGAGCACACATTCCAGGCAAAGAGAAAAAACAGATATGGGAAAAACACAGATATGGGAAATTTATATGATGTGCCTGTTGGGACTCCTGCTAGTGGAGGCATAAACGGGGAGTTACTGGTTCCGTAGTCGGTCAGGATGCTACAGGAGTTCACAAAAGGAAGGGGTGATGCTGCCGTCTGGCTCCCTGTCTGCTATTCTTTGTATGTTGGCATCAGTCTTTCCTACTGCAGATGGACCGTGCTCCTCGTGGGGGCACCACTGCTGACAGACCCAGTCCAGCAATTGCAGTGAAGGGACAACTCCTTTCTCTGCATCTATATGTCAGTTCTAGAGCAAGTCTCTGCCTGGCTTAGGTTGGATGTTGTGCCTGTCATTGCAGCCAGGGAGTGGAGTAGTCTAATCGGGCTGGACCATTTGCCCACCCTTGTTGGGGCCTTCATGGTCTTTTTTAAGAAGGCAGAAGAAAAGCATCTATGGAAAATAAAAAAAGAGTCTTTAGCATGGTTTACTGTACTATGTTTTGAGGAATTTATGGTACAACAAGGTAGGAACTCTTTGGGGAGTTTTAAACAGAGAACTTGATCATATTTAGGTTTTATTAAAAGTCATTACAGACACTGTGTTTGGGTTTGTGGTTGGAAATAAATGAGTAGAGGTTAGAAGGTTGCCACTGTAGCTCTAAGGAGAGCCGAAGAGACCTGAGCCAATTAAAGCCCTTAGTTGTGTCATTTGGACTTCACCTCCAGCCGCCCCACCGGTAAAGAGGAGTGGGAGAAAGTCTAGAGACAATGAGGCAACCAGGGCTTGGTGACCAGCTGGAGGAGGCAAGAAAAAGAGGGGCTTAAGGAGGATCCCCCCACCACCACCACCAAGGGGGGGTAATAACTATTCTCCAGAAGGCTAGATTTATCTTTGGAAACCAGTTATTAAGTGGTAGCAGACTTGACATATCTTATGTGCTTCTTGAGAAATGTGAGTGCTGTTGGCTTTTTGTGGTGCCTCAACTGGAAAAGGAAGCTGACTGATTGTATTTGTCTCCCTTTAAAGTTTCCTTTCTTTTTGCAATCAGATAATAGGAGCCACAGCCAGGACTGCCATTTGACAGATGGATGGGAGCTGGGCCCTGGCCCGAAGACCTTTCCTCCCCCCATGCCTGCCCCTGGGCCTGCAGGTCTACTTTATAAACATTCATCTCCTTGGCATTGGCCTTGCCAGGAAGGCTTTTCAGGATTTTAAGCAAAGAAATGACCTGTTCTGACTTATGTTGTGACCAGTTCCCTCCTGTACTGGGAATAGACTGTGGATGGAGGGAGGAGTGTTACCAAGAGCCAAAGCGCAGGGGAGGGGTGGGGGGCAGGCACACCTGTGCAGGGGCTGTTGTAATCAGCTATGTTGGTAATGGTGGAGGGGGTGAGAAATGGTCATGTTCTGAATATATTTTGAAGTACAAACCAATTTTGGTGAGGATTGGATATGGAGCAAGAGAGAGGAGACAAGAATGACTCTATAAACGTTTTGGCCTGGGCAACCTGACGAACGTTGTCTTTAGCCTGATATGGGGAACACTTGGAGGAGCAGGTCTGGGGGAAGGCCAGGGGTCGGCACTGGACATGTTAAGTTTGGGACATTGAACATGACTTACACAGAGCTCCTATTTGACATCTTACTTGAAGCGGGCAGTTGGATATATCCTACCAGTCAGGAGTTAAAGGAAAGATCCGGGCTTGGAGAAAAATCTGGGCATCCTCAGCATACAAATGGTATCTGAATCCCTGACATTAGGCGAAGTCACCGAGGGGTGACTGAAGGCATACAGAGAAGAGATGAGAATGAGGCCTGAGCCCCGGGACACTCTGACATTGAGAGGCAAGGAGAGAAGGAAAAACCAGCAAAAGGAAAGAACAGCCAGTGAGAAACAGCAGGCAGAAAACAAGAGTGCTGTCCTAGAAGCCAAGTGAAAGGAGTCGTCAAGCAAGAGGGAATGGTTTACTGATATCAAGAGCTATAAGACAAAGACTAAGGCTTGCCCGTTGGGTCTGGCAACATGGAGGACAGGCCAAGTGCATGTTCTGGACCAGAGCTTAACCTCTCAAAAGAAGTCACAGTTTGCCCACTGAAGAAGAACACAGTTGTGCAAAACAGGATTGCTGTAGATTGAAAGAAATCCAAGAACAATGAAGACAGTGCCATGGGCGTCTAGTGCTATGGGACAGCCCTTCTGGCTTTTGTGAGGAGGGTTGAGGTCAGATTCATTCATGTCTTTATCCAGCATTTATTCATTTCACAAAAATATACTGGGTTTCAGAGACTGGGAGTAAGGGTTGGGGGAGAGGGAGAACGTGGAGTCATCATTTAATGGGTATAGAGTTTCAGTTTTGTGGAAAAGAGTTCTGGAGACGGATGGTGGTAATGGTTACACAGTAACACAAACGTGTTAATACCACTGAGCCATATACCTGAAAATGGTTAAGATTATAAATTTTCTGTTATGTATGTTTTAACACACACACACACACACACACACACACACACACACACACACACACAAATGAGAGAGAGAGAGAGAAAAAAAAAAAACAACTTATTGGCCCCATCATGAACTTGGTCTGGGACATAGTGTTTGAAATGGATGGCATTTCAATAGGAGATAATTTGGAGGGAAGGGAAGAAGGACCTCCAGCTGGAGGGAATACAGAGAAGGCCCGCTATCAGGCCTGTTTGTCTGGATTGTGGGGTCAGTGGGGGAGGCCACTCGAGCTGAGGCTGTGGACTCAGGCTGGGCCAGTTCGTGCAGGCCTGGCAGCCTGCTTCGGAGTTGGGCTTGCCTTCTTAGATTCTGGAAGCCTCTGAAGGCTCTCTGCCCAGGGGAGTGTCATTCCAAAGGTGTGCATTTAGACCATTAATCTCATGAATCCTTCCTGTTAAGCCATTGCTTATTAAAAGCAGTGGGATTGAGGCATGCCTTTCTATAGGGAAAATTGTGATCAAGCAGAATTTTCAATACCCAGGCTTGTGGTAATGAATTAAGTGGGTTGTTTTTCCTCACATTTTTACAAATATTTATTGAAGACTACCTAAATGCCCACAGGGTTCTAGGCAGTGGGGTGAGAGTAGGGGTAAATTTAACAGGCCTCTTCTCTTGAAAAGCCTAGACTCTAGGGACCCCCATTCCTAAATAAGAAATTATGCTCCCATGTGTCACGTGTTGCCATAAATGTCTCGCCATGGGAGAGTTCCATGGGAACTGAGAGGGGGAGGTGCCCAGCTTGCTGGGGACACTGGGGAGGCTTCTTAGGGAAAGACTGTCCAGTGGCTTTGAAAAATGAGCACAATTTTCTGGGCAAAGTAACAGAAATGGGCATCCTGAGAGGATGGTAAATCAAAACTTATTGGGGGCTGTAAATTGAAAGACGGTGTATAAATAGCCTCTCTTAAGCTGAATTCTTATTTCGTTGGCTTTAGGTGGTGCTGGCTAGAGTGCACGCATTTGGACCCAAGCTTAACTTTTCAAATGTGGAATCCTAGGCCTTCACTGGTAAGTTTGTTTGATGCCTTCTTACCAAATTATGCTGTTGAGGATCGGTATTTGGAATAAAGGGCAAGAAAGTTATCATTGGCACAGCTCTGTGGAGGTTACCAAGCCTAGACTCTAGAGAAGCCTGTAGTACAGGCAGAAGGGATCCACAGGAGAAGTGAAATTTCACTGTAGGTTTATGAAGTAGATGCTCTGGAGAGGCATCCAGGAGGTGTAAGGCTCATGGCACCCAGGCTCATGGCAGGGCGGGCTTTGGCTGGGTTTTGAAGGAAAAATCCAGAGTGAAATAAGGTTTTCGGGTTTGAGAAAGTGGGCGTAAGACACAAAGACAGTGGGCTCAGCAACAGACCCACAGGAGCAAGAGCTTCAGAGGAGTCATGGGCCAGACCTTTGGCAAGAGGTGATTGTTCTAGACCAGGGTCAGCAAACTTCTTCTGTAAAAGGTCAGACGGTAAATATTTTTGACTTCATAGGCCATGCCGTCTCTATCACAGCTACTCCGCTCTGCTGTTGTAGCATGAAAGCAGCTATGAATGAATGGGCACCGCTGGGTCCCAGTAAAGCTTTATTTACAAAAACAGGTGGTAGGTAGGATTTGGCCTGTGGGCTGTTGTTTGCAGACTCCTTCTCTGAACCCTGAATGTCAGGCTAAGGCACTTGGACTTTGTCCTGGAGGCAGTGGGAAGCCATTGAGGTTATTTTGGGAAAAGAAGTGAAACGGCAGAAGCGACACGCTAGGACCGTTCTTCTCATAGCTGGACAGGAGGCATGGGGCTTGTTCAAAGGAACAGCAGCAATCTGCACATGATGGCATGTGGTTAACAGTGGTGAAAACAGGGGCAAAGGACTAATAGAAGAGCTATTGCAAAGGGAGATCCATAGGATTTACAGTCTTCTTAGACTTTAAGAACAGGAGCCAAAGAAAATGGAAGTTTAAACCTGGTGGTTCACAGTGGCATCATTGGCACATGTAGACATTGGAGACTGAGAGGGGTGGTTGGTGCATCTGGTTTTAGATACACTGAATTCAGGATGACAGTGGTTCATCCACAGGAAATGTCCCGTAGACAGTTGGAAGTGCAGGGCTGAAGCTGGGGCTGAGAGGGTTTGGTCTGGAGGTGTGGAAGGGAGGCCGTAGGATTAAATGAGTTCTCCCCATGATGAGCGGAGAGCTGAGCCTTGGGGAATGTGCATAATTCCAGATGGAAGAAAAAGGTAGAAGAGAACCAAAGGCCAAGGAGGAGAGAGTCCCAGGAAGGGAAGAGAAGGGGGCAGCAGGGACCATGGAGAAGGAAGTTGAAGGAAGGCTGCTGACTTGGTGACACGTTGGTTACAGGTGGCCTTGAGGAACAGGATGCCACAGGAGGAGAATGGGGGATGAGGGCTCCAGGCTGCACAGGGTTGGACATAAATGAGGGATAAAGAATCGAAGACACTAGGAAAATAGACCACCCATAGAGAGTGCGGGCCTTAAAAGAAGGGAGTACACATTTGCATGTCGCAGTTACCTTTTCTTTAGCTCTGAGGCAGGCACAACATGCTGCGACCGGTGCTCTTTTCCTTCTCTGGAGCCAAGCGGTGCTTGGGGGTTTGTGTGCACCCTGGGCTGGTGACTGTGTTCGTATGTGCCCTTGGCGGCGTGGTGCTCATGGCTGTGCCGCAGCTTGCACACGGAACCCAGCCCATGTCTGGACTCCTGCCAGAAGACAAGATGCGATCTGTTGGCGAAAGAGTTGCATTTGCCACAATGGAGGGGAAGAGAGGGTAGACCAGGAGACTCAAATGAGACCTCTTACTGGAGGGTCGGCCCGTGTATGGGAGTTTGAGATACGTCCTCAGGTCATCCGGCCAGGTTATCAATTTGTGCTCTGAGCGTTTTGAGTGTACGTTCTTTGGTTTGGATTCTAAGTCACATTTGGCTTGGTTTGTGTGAATGTAGCAGTTTGAGATCTGGACACAAAGGCAGCAGGTGCAAGTGGTTCAGAGCCACCATTTATGGAGCCCTCAGTAGGTCCCCAGCACGGTGCTGGTGCTCTACAGGTGTCGTTTTAGGTCCTCTCTGCAACAGCCTCCAACACAGGGAGTTCGTTTTCTCACGTCAGTAGTGAGGAAATCAGATCATAAAGAGGCTGAGTAACCTGCCCAAGGTTACAGGAGATTTGAACCCAGATCTGACCCCCGGGTGACTCTGCTTCCTGTTTTCTCTCACCCGAGTCTGGAATTACTCCTCCCACTTATGTAGAAGGACTAGGGATGGACTGAGCTATGCGGGTTAAATATTCAGAGCCTAGTGTGGGTGTTTCCACTTCCTAGGAGTCTGGTGAAAGGGTGGAGGAAGTGTGGGGTCTCTGCAAGAAATCAAGACCAAACCTTAATAGCTTTAACTGTTTCCCCAGGTAAAAATTTCCTGGGTTGGAGGAACTTGGAGAAGGTTGACAGTCGTGGGCTTGGAAAGGAAATATCACTGGAAGGCATGAAAGATTTCAGCCCTAGCTCTGCGGCAATTATAATAGACTTTTTGTTTAAATATTTGGTATTTGTCTCTGCTCACCTTCCACTTTAAGCTTTGAGGGCCGGGTGTTTCCCCCCACACCCCCAGCATCTATCATGGCTTGGGCATGTCCTATGTGCTCAGTGAATATTTGCTGTTTGTAATGAGCCAAGAGGCTTGGGACAAGGTGCTTAACCTCTGTGTGCCAGGCACTGACTCTTGGCACCGTGGCTGTAGAGGTGACACGGCCTCTTGTCCTCATGAGGCTACTCCTGAGAAGATGTTTCTAGTAGGGGAGACAGACAGAATAAAGGTATGAGACGTGTGTAAGGTCAGGCAGGCGTGATCACGCCCTGAAGTAAAATAAAGGGAGAGGGTGGCCAACAGTTTAGTTAGGGTCATCAGAAGGCCCCACCAAGAAATGAAGCAAGACAGTGAGGCTGTTGGGGGAAAAGTCATAATTCTGTTTGAGACTTCTACAGACGTCAGCTGAACTGTCAACACTCCTAAATTCTTTTGCTGGGCCATGGCTGCTAACACCTAACCGCTTCCATCAGTGAGGACTCCTTTTTCCGGCCCCTCGTCTGTGGCCTCTGAACTGTCTCTTCCCCTCCTCGGTAGGTGCTCCCTCGCCTCGCCTTGCCTCGCCTGCCTCTCCAGGTTCTCCTCCAGCCCCAAAGCCCTTGCCTCCACAGCCTGCTTTGCTAGTGTTCTTTCTTTTGTCCTTAGCTTGGTAGGGTTTTGCTTGGTCCCTTTCTCATCACCGCGAGGATTCTCCCCGGCGGAGCCTGTGCAGTGCTCCTTTCTACCCTGCAGTCATCCAGAACTACATATCCAGCACAGAACCTCCTCCTAGGCTGCGCTGCTGGCTGCTGTCCACTGCCCGCGGGCACCTCGGGCCCATCCCTGCCCCGCGGCCAGGTGCGTCTGTCTCCCTGTGTCACCTGCCGTGCCTGGGACTGCAGCCCCAAGTTGCGTCTCCTTCACGAGTCGTCCCTGGCTTTGTCCTTTCCCTCCGCTGTCCTGTTCTGTGGGTGACCATCCTAGTAAAGAGGGTGCCTTCTCACTTGTCCACTCCCTTCTCTTCCCTCCCTACTCCTTCCCTTAGGACTCATCCTTTGGATTTCTTTCAAAAGCCTCTTAATTGCTCTTCCTGTGTCCATTTTTGTCCTCCCTCATTCCACCCCCACACTCCTTATCAGCATGATGTTTATAACTCACACATCTGATCATGGCTTTCTTCTGCTTCAAGCTCTCCAAGGGCTCCTTATTGCTTGCAGGATAAAACCTAAGCTCCTTGGTAAGCCTGCAGGCTTTCATGATCTGGCCTGTGGGCACGTTCCTCATGTATTTCTAACCTCGGCCCAGCCTCCCACCAGCCATCACCTCTGGGCCCTCTGGGGAATGACCTGCGCCCTGCTCCCCATTTCAGTAGCTCAGTTCAGGTTTCCAGTCTTCCGGACATCTTCCTTCCCCCGTTGCTCCTCGCTGTGACCTGGGGACGACCTTCCTCCCGTCTCCCACAACACCCTGCATTTCTCTCTTCCAAAGTGCTTATCAGCACACTGTTGATTTACTACTTGTTATGCTCAGTAAACTGAGCTCCTTAAGGGTGGGGACCACACATGCGTGTGCGCGTGTACACACACACACACACACACACACACACACACACACACACACTCTTGGTTCTCAGCACCAGCATAGTACATCCGGCTCAGGAAGTGTGTGTTGAAGTAAGGATAGTAAAGTCTGTTTGCACAGACTTAGAACGTGATCAAATGTACTTGAAATTGGAGGTTCATCGGCCATGGCGTTGGGCAGAGCCACCCGCCTGTCCCCTCAGCTTTGAGTGCAGGAGGCATTGCTCTGGGTGTGGGTGTGTGGCCGCCTGCTGTGTCTCCCGGCATGCTGGGGCCTCAGGAATGTAACTTCCTTACATTCGTTGCCCCTGACTTTCAAAAAACTCCCTTGTCGATGGAACAGTAACAGCAATTCAAAATGAAAAATAACCCATCAAGGAATGCTCAGGAGTGAGGTCTGCCCAGCTTCAGCCCGGGTGAATCCCAGATTTCCTAAATTAGCCAAAATGACGATTCTTGCTAACCGCTGACAGCTTTTCTTCCCCATCACCTAGCTGAGAATACTTGTCTGGCTAGGGGGTGAGGACAAGCTAGCAGTCCTTTGTGGCCCCCCCCCCCAGGGGCTTCTTTATCTGCCCTTGGAGCCCTGTAAAGTCCTCGGTGAACACCGACGAGTGGCGCAGGAAGAGGCTCAGACCCCGCAGATGCCAGGTCAGCGTCTGTACTCCCCATGGGAGCGGGCACAGCGCACCCGGGCGCTAGTCAGTACGTGCTCGTGTTTTCACGCGGGGCCATCGGCTCAACGCTCATTTCGTCCTCTCCACTTCCTAGTTTTGCCACAGACCTGGGGAATTGTACTGAACATGCAGCTTTTGCGTGGGGGCTCACGGCAAGCTGGGAGGGCTTCCTAGAGGAAGTAGCCGTTCTTACCATGGAGGCATCCTGCTGACCAGGGTGCTCCAGCTGGCACTTGGAGCTGCTGTCCTCATCCGGAGGTGTCCTCAGGGACTTTTTAAAAGCTTCCCGCCACATGGATGCATTTTCCTTTTAGTTTATCTGGTCCATGCCCACTCTGTGCCTTCAGACCTCCGCTGATGTGCCGCCTCCTAGGAAGCATCCGCTGACCTCCCCGATAAGAAACCTGGGTCTGATCGTCACCATCACTGTTCTCGTCACATACCGCTTACGGCTCGCTGGCTGTTTGGCAAGCCCAGGCAGAGTGCTTGGTGGGCAGGCACGTGGTGGCAGGGCCTCGGCAGGTGTTGGCTGCGGCAAGTGTCATCATTATGATCCCACACGCCCCCTCTGAGGGGACTGAGGCCCAGGTCAACACGGGACATGCGAGCGGGGGTTTTCCGCATGTGCTGACCAGGTTGGCGCCCTTCCCCTTCCCTCCTGCACCGCGGTCCCTCTGCCATGCGTGCCCGCAGCCCGCACTCCCGCTCATTTGCAGTGCTCGCCACAGAGGCCGGTTTTCGTTTACTTGTGTGGTTGTAGATGGGTGAAGGTTTGCCCCTCCACTGGGCAGCCCGGTGAGCCCAGGACTGTGGGGGTCTGCCCTGTAGGTAGGTGTGCCACACGGACTTGCCCCACAGCCTGCCTGACGTCCCGCTTTTTCTCCCTGCCCCCTGCACCACGGGCATCTGGCGAGATGGGCCACAGGGGCTCCCCAGGGCCCCCACACGCTTTAGCCGGTACCCCTCACCTGTTTCCATGTCAGAGCCGCTGTGCTGAGGGTCTGTGCCTCGCTGGGATGCCTTTGTCTCAGACCCCCAGGACCACTCCTTTTGTCTTTTTCTCCACCTCCTCCCCCTTTTGTAAGGAAGTGGACCCTGTTCTTCCCTTAGGATAGAGCCAGTACCTTCCTATGGCCCTGCACACACTCTGGGGATGGCTCTGACCACCGAGGGCCATCGTGATCTGTGTGCCTGCCCTCCTTGTCCTTCTGGCACCCCTGGGGACCAGCCGTGGCGTGGTGTCTGTGGCAGGGCAGTACCTGGCATAGTCAGGGCCGAGGGGTCTGTGGAATTGGGGAAGGGAGCACAGAGGTTACCGCCTTAAGGGCAGCTGCTGGACGATGCAGTTTGCGTGTACGTGTACCTGTGTTGGTGAGTATATGTGTATGAACGGGGCTGTGTGTGTGTTTCTTGCTCCGTGTTTTTGTTTGCATAATTTATCCTTGTGCACATTGGAGACAGTGTCTCCCTCTTTCACGGGTCTGGTATGGGGCCTCGAATAATAGATATTTCATAGCCGTTGGCTAAATAAATATTTTCTCCTTTCCCAAGCTGCAGGCGCCTCCCCTCTCCTCCACCCGCCTCTTTGGTACCTCAGTGACCGTTTCACAGGGTTGTTGTGACTTGTCAGCACCCGCTTCCCAGACCCTATTCAGACAGCGGTGACGTGAAAGCCCCATCTAGACCCCAGCAGGCCTGGCTACCCTCCTTAAGCTGGCAGCGAGGAAGCCAGTCCCCCAGGGGCACCTCACCAGGCCTCCGGGGCCCTGTAGGGCCAGGCTGGCTAAGCCCGGAGTGATTCATACCAGTTTTGAGTGGGAAAAATAAAAATAAAAAAAAAATGGCTTCTGACCAAGTAGGGAAAGTGGGTGTGGGGGAGGAGCAGCAGAAGGACCCTGGCCACGCCTTGGGTACACTTGCCAGCAGCAAATTGAGATTGGCTTAGAGCACGGGCCCCAGCAGACCTGCTTCAGTATTTCAGCTCTGTGCCTGCTGATGGTGTAACTCAGACTGCCCACCCAAGTTCTGTAGGCCTCGGTTTCCTCCCCTGCCGCACGGGATGGTGATCCTCGTGATCACCTCTGTGAGGCTCGTGTGAAGGGGAAATGAAAATGTGCTTAGCCCTGGCATGTAGCAAATGCCAAATAATCTGTTATCATTGTCGCTTTTGAAAAGTAGTGTCATTAGCAGTAACTGTAAGACGACTTTGGACGAGATACAAAGTCTACGATGCAGTTAAAGGCTCCGAGGAGTGAGCTAGTGCTTCAGAAAAGCGCTTTGTGAGTTGCAGTTTATGTGCAGATATTGTTATTAGCACAAATATAGCTGTGACTTTTTTGGCTTTGGGAAAAATGAGCACAGTTTTCTGATGTTGACTCTTAAGTCTTGGTTGAGTTTGGTTTTGGTTCTGGAGGGAGATTCGTCAGGCCTCTCTTGGAATCTTGCCCAGAGGCTGCATGACCCACACTGGTGCTCCCGGATGCCGAATGCCTGAGTGACACCTAGCATCTGTACTTGATGTTGTTATTTTCAATGTCCTACGATAAACATAGTCGAGTAAGTTCTTGGAGATTCATTGACAGTAAATTGTGGAAATTTGCTCTGGACCTGGGAAGTTCTCCCTCTCAAGTGCTTCATGCCTGGTATAGCCAACAAATTTTAACAATTTCTTCAGAATTTGACCCAGACAACTACCATTGTTTCCTCAAGTACGTTAGAAATATTTTCTTACTTATCAAACACTTGACTCTCGTTCCATATTATTTGCCTGCCTCCTCCCATCCTTCTAAAAATTAAATTGCACAAAGATGACCCATTAAGAAAATGTAGATAGTTTCAGGCTGAGGTTGAGAACTTGATTCATGGGCTGCATCTGGCCGGCAGATGTATTTTGTCAGTGCTCACGACATTGTAAAACTTTGGAATATGTGGCCAACACTTGACACGTGGTAGATATTGTCTAGAAATCTGGATTTCTAACCTGCGTGAAAAATCGGAGGTCTGATGGCATTGGGGAAGAGTGGTGGTCCCTCCTCCAGTGGCTTCTCTGGCTTGCCCAGCCCTGCCCAGCTGCTCACCCTTACCCACCCTTGCCCAGCCCTGCCCAGCTGCTCACCTGGACTGCAGGTCACGGACTGGGCGGTCTCTCCTAAACGTAACCCAACACCTCGTAGACACTGAATTGATTTAGGATTATTTTGTTTCATCAGCAACTTTGGCCATAGATAGGAAGGTTACTTCACCCCATAAGCTGGGATTTTATGAGAACCCAAGTGACTATAGTGTTTTACATAGGCCCGTTTTGGATTTGGGGGAGTCACCGTCTCTCCTCCCCGTGGGATTTCCTCATTAAGCAGTTTTTAAGAACTCTTCAGTGGAGACTCAACCAGTCAACATACAATGTTGAGTAATGCAGGATATCAATTTTGATGGCCCCTATTTAAGAGAGGCTGCCAAGAAGTGAACTTGAATTCAGTAATTTATGATGTTATAAAACTTGACTAAGACACTTAGTCCTTTTTATTAGCCAGCTTGTTGAAATAGTTGTAATTTGGTAGAATTCTTATTGAAATAGCTGAGGGATTTGAGATTCTCAGTCCTGGAGACGATCCCCACCTGTAGTCTTTTCCTAGGCAAGCCCAGGGGTGTGCACAGGGCCGGTGGCCACAGGCAGAGATGGAGAGGCTGTGCTACGTCCCGGGGTGCTTACTTTAGGGGAGTGCTTGCAAGCACTGGAATTTTAAAAATTATCATCGTTGTATGACCTTTGAGGGCTATTTTTGTTTGTTTTTGTCATCACAAAGGAGTCTACACTTGTAGCAGATTCAGACAACACTAAAGTGCACTCGCATGAAGGAAGGAAGTCTTCGTGACTTCTCCACCTCCAGCCTTCTCCACCGATGGGCAGTTGAGACTTTGTTGGGTATAGTCCTGGACTTTTTCATTCGCTTGTGTTCCTTCTACCTCCTTTGCCCTTATCTCCAACATATGCACTTTCACTTTTGTTTTGTAAAAATGGAATTTCTCTATTTGTACCATCCTGTAGCTCTCCTTTCAGTGGCCGACTGTCAGTGCTTATGGTCATCTTTACAAGTCGCCACGTACAGGTAGAAGTGCCTTATGTTTGGCAGCCGTACTCCATGGTATGGATACATTTCAAGTTTGTTTAATCGTTCCCGTGCTGGTGGACACCCAGGTTCTGATCTTTTGCCATCGCCATGGCTGCTGATGTGGGAATTGTTGTACACGCTTGTGAACTTTTACATGAGATTTTCTGTGGCATAGGCACCAAGAAGTGGGACTTCCAACTTAAATAGTTTGAATTTAAAATTTGAAACAATACAGGGGCGCCTGGGTGGCTCAGTCGGTTAAGCATCCGACTTCAGCTCAGGTCATGATCTTGCTGTCCATGAGTTTGAGCCCTGCATCGGGCTCTGTGCTGATAGCTCAGAGCCCGGAGCCTGCTTCAGATTCTGTGTGTCCCTGTATCTCTACCCTTCCCTTGCTCATGCTCTGTCTCTCTCTCTCTCTCTCTCTCAAAAATAAACATTAAAAAATTTTTTTAGGGGCGCCTGGGTGGCTCAGTCGGTTGGGCGGCCGACTTTGGCTCAGGTCAAGATCTCGCGGTCCGTGAGTTCGAGCCCCGCGTCGGGCTCTGTGCTGACTGCTCAGAGCCTGGAGCCTGTTTCAGATTCTGTGTCTCCCTCTCTCTGACCCTCCCCCGTTCATGCTTTGTCTCTCTCTGTCTCAAAAATAAACGTTAAAAAAAATTTTTTTTTTAATTTTTTTAAATAAAATTTGAATCAATATTGCTTAATTGCTCTCCCAAAAGGCTGTACCAATTCATGCTTCTCCCAAGAGGATCCAATTATAACTTTAATTATCTAGCTTTCTTTCTTTCTTTTCTTTTCTTTCTTTCTTTTTTTTTTTTTTTTTTTTTTTTGCTTAAACACTTAAAACTTTAAAAACTCACAAATATGCCATCAAAATGATACGTTTGTCTTAGTCTATAGGTTTAATTAAATGATTTTCATATTTTGATTTTGGTGATGGTTATCATCCTGCATGATGACAAAAATGTTCCTCAACTGTTGTAGCCAATTGTTAACTACTTATTTAAGGGCTGTTGTTGTGCCCGGTAGCCTTCGGAAGAGGAGGGCCAAATCACAGCTTCCTGTTCCACAGCTCTCCCAGCGCTCCTGTGTTCTCCCTTGAACCATCGGTACGGAGGCCAGCTCAGCACTGAAGGAGCTGCACCCGGGAGTGCCGGGCCTTAAGCCCAGGACGCTTGGGGCAGGGGGCAGCAGGTGATGTGGTGAGGTACCCCACGATTCCCAGCACCCCTTCTTTACATCTGAACGCCGTTTGACATGGACAGTTTCTTCCCACATGTGTTTTCTCATAGCGTCCCTACGACCTCCCTTTGAAGCAGGCCTTCTCCTCCTCCCCCTGTTTATATCTGGGGACACTTAGGCCCAAAGAAGATCTGACTTACTGAGTGTTGCACAGCTGGTAAGGAAAAGTCTCTTGGACGCAGGTCCTCCAAATGCAGTGGAGTCAGACCCCTGCGAGGCTGAGATGTAGCTTTGGGCCTACAGCGCACCATGGAAGTTTCCTTTACAGGGCTGGGGCTGGAGAAAGGACAAGGAAGTGACATTCCCAGATGTCCTGTGGTCACTTCTGTCCCCAGCTTTCTCCCAGGAGTGCTAACACTTAGGATCGTGTTCTTGAATGCTTCCCCAGTGTCTAGAAAGGATCTGTGAATTCTGGACCAGGGGACTTAACTGATCACACGTGGTCGAGAACTGCTGACCCAGAATGTGTCTTCTTCTCCTTAGACAGGATGGGTCTGGGGAGATGGTCAATTTGCCATTTGCTAACTGTATCTGAAACTTAGAATTCTGTCTTCTCCCGAGGCCTCCTCTCTGTCCCTCTGACCTGGTGCCTGGCTTTTGCTAACAGCTTACCCTGTGTTGGTCAAAGCTCCTTAGCACTAACCTCATTATGAGCCTGCAGGGAGATTCGATGTCCAGACCACTCATCCTTTCTGGATGCCTTCAGCTTCACTAGACTCATGCAGGTGGGCTGGTCTACTGAAAACAAGAGGATCTGGAGTCTGATGGACTGAGAATCAAATCCTGGCCTCATCACTTTTACTAGCAGTATGAAACTTTGGCTGTTGACCTCACCTCCCTGAGCCTCAGTGTCTCCCTTCTACAAAATAGGGATAATAATTCCCTCATGGGGCATTTTGAAGAATATATGAATTAAGACTTGGAATGTGCTTCTCAAATGTTCAGCATACAATGGATACTTATAAATATGAGTCCTGGCTCCTTTTCCTGCTGTAGAGAGAAGGTTCTCCTCTGGGGATGCTCCAACCTGCTGGCTGCTGGCTGGGGATCCTAGGGACAGAGGAAGGCCACCAAGATGAATCATATACAACATGTGCTCTCAGGAATTCACTGTTAGGTAGGGGAACCCATGAGCAGAGACCATGTAACGTGTACATTGTAAGAATCAACTAACAGAGCGAAGATTAATTAACCTCCAGGTGAATGGGGGGGTGGTGGTGGTGGAAGAAATTATCAAGCAAGTAGGGTATTGAAGATTGAATAGGAGCTTGACGGAGAAGAATATACATAATGAATAGGCAACTCTACCCATCAGCAATCAAATGACATTATTTTGTATGTATATATGTATGTTAACTTCATTGACTCTTACCAATGCACTGATCTATTCAAATCCTTCCTCTCTCTCTTTTCCTTTTTCCTTTCATTCTGCCTCTCCTTCTCCCCACCCTGCCTTAAGATATTTCAGCACCTCAAAATTTCTTAAAGGATTTCTTTATGCTTTGGTAAATCCTCAGAGGGTTGATGCTACTTCAGTCCTGCTAAGTTTTTACAAGAGCTTTGGTGTGGCTACCTTTTCGTCCACTCCTTTTCTCTCCAGCATGAGTAAACCTCTTTTGCTTTCTCAGCAATGAACAAACTCCCGGCCATTTGGTGCTGACTGGGTCACTGCCGTATACCCGGGGCATGGGTCACCCCACTCAGTAGCCAGAACAGCTTTGTGAAACAGGGCTCTTCTTTACAGATGAAGAAAGTAGGCTTAGAGAGGTCGATGTGCTGGTCGGGGAGCCACGGTTCAACGCCGGGCTTCTTCTCCCTGTCCTGTGCTGCTTTGTTCAGTGTCTCGCACACAGTAGGTGGGCAGCGAACACTTGCCCAGAGGAACGAGAAGGCTGCCACCCGCTAGTCCGCTCGGTTCACAGGGCTGGTTCTGTGACCCTCTCCGTGCACTCACGGCGTTCTCACTTGGCTTCCCACCTGTTGATGGGGTCCCAGGATCACAGGAATAGTTGGTACAAAATACAGTTTCCCATTCCCCTCGCTTTTTTTGTTTTGTTTTGTTTTAGTTTATTTTGAGACAGTGAGCACAAGTGGGGAGGGGGCAGAGAGAGAGAGAGAGAGAGAGAGAGAGAGAGAGAGAGAGAATCCCACGCAGGCTCCGCACAGTCAGTGCAGAGCTCAACTCAGGGCTCGATCCCACAATCACGAGGTCATGGCCTGAGGCGAAGTCAGGTGCTTAACTGACTGAGCCACCCAGGCACCCCGTCCCTCGCTTTTATTTCTAGGGCACTTGAGAGCAGATAGGTTGGACTGTTAAAACTTTGTGCTCGGCTTTGCCTGTGCCCTGTAAGAAATGCCTGGCACCGTGCACGCGCAGTGCTCTAGGAGCCCGGCCCAGGAGTCAGGGGCTTAGTGACTCCTCAGTCACAGTGGGTAGATCACATCCCCTCCCCAGAATTACATATCCTTGGCACACTGTGGGGTTGAGAGGGTCCCTAAGGATCCTGCCTACGGTACCATCTGCCGGAAGGAACGCAGGCGCTGGATTGGCCAAGACCTGAGTGTGAATCCTGGTTCCCGTCCTTCCCGGCTCTGTGACCCTGGGCAAATCACCTAACCTCTCGGATGCTCGTTGCCTGTGTCTACGAAAGAAGGCAAGTAGGACCTGCTTCCGGGCTCACCGTCAGGAGGACAGGAGTCCACGTACAGGAGGGCTGCTTCCTTCCCTCCGTCTCTGACTCCTGAGTGCTTTGGTTTTGGACTCGCTGGGGGTTCCTGCAGTGAGACCCGACACATGTTTCTCAGGTGCGGTGCTCACGACACCTCACCACATCCTGAGATACTCGGCTCGTGGATTTCTCGAAGCTCCCGCGTGCTGTTGGGAAACTGCTCGAAGGCAGATGCCGTTCTACCACATTGAGCGGTGGCAGTGCTGCGGTGACGCCTGACTTCCCCCCCTGTCCCCTTGCGGACAGCAGTGGCAGTGTCCACCAGCCTGCATGCAGGTGGCTCCTTTGCGTCTCTTCACAGAGAGGAGAACTCCAGTCATTTGGCAAACGTTTGCCGTGCCCAGGCCTTATGTTAGGAGGCAGGGTGCATCAGAGGAATAGTCTTGCACTCACTGCCCTCGGGAAGCTCACAGCGAGGAAGGGTGAAAATAGGGGTGACACAAGGCCATCGGGGCACGTGACAGGGCACTGTGGGAGAAGGAGGGGCTTAGGCGCTCTCCCCTGGGCAGTCAGGAGGGGCCTCATAGACAAGAGGTAACTTTTGAGCAAGTCTTAAGGGACTGGTAAGAGTCTACACTGCAGAAGTATGCAGGCAGAACATTCCAGACAGGAGGAGGCCAGAGCCTGGAGGAAGTGACGCCTGGCCGCGTGTCTGGAGCTGGGGCCAACAGCTGGAGGACCTGGTGGTCGTCAGGATGACGACGCCCTCGGACCTTTCTCCGGAGCCCCAACCCGCGTACCCGCTGCCCACTCAGCATCCACGCGTTGATGTTTAATGGGTATCCCAGACCCAACGCCACTAAATACAAGTCTTGGTATTTTTCTTCTTAACAGGAGGAAAAAAGGCAAAATCATAACCCTGCCCCTCCCCCAGCTTCCCCGTTTTATGTGGCAGGACCATTTCCCTGGTTACGCAGGCCCAACATATCGGCATCACCTTGGATCCTGCTCCAAACCTTGCACTTCACGCTGTCTGCGGACAGTTCTTGACAGGTTTCCCATCAGAGTGCACCCTGAAAGCACCTCCCCTCCCTCCCCTCCTCCAGATGCCCCCCATCTCGCAGCAGGTCTCCCTGCTTCCGCTCGGGCCCCACTGCTGCGCACAATCAGGCAGAGTGACCTTTTAAAAGGTAAATCAGATGGTATCATTTCCCTGCCCAAATTCTCCGGCGGCTTCCCGGCGTCCTTGGAATAGACCTGCTTGCCATGGCCTGCCAGCCCCTCTTGCTTCTCTGATCTCTCCTTTTAGACCTCTCTGTTTTGCTCACTCCATTCCAGCCACTGTGCCTTTCTTGCTGTTCCTCTTTCTTGCCTCGGGGCATTTGCCCTTGCTCTTCCCCCCCCCCCCCCCCCAATCTGTCTTCCCCGACATCTCTGCCTGGCTCACCTTCGCTGCACTCTGTTCTCCGTTCAAATGAGGGCCGGAGAGGAACAGACTTCTAGTCACCGTGTTCAAGGACTAAAATGTGCTGTCCTACCCCACCCTTTAACCGATCCCTCGATCCTCTCGGCTTGCCTCATTTCTCTTCATTAGCATCCGTTGTTACCTGACTTCTGTATCTGTTTGTCGTCGTTAGTGTTTGTCTTACTGCCCTAGAATGTAAATCCACGAGGACGGGTGCCTGCCTTACCTGTCTCATTCACCACTCTTATCTCCAGGACATAAAACAGAGCCTGGCGCTCAGGAGGTGATCATCACACATTAGATTGGTGAGGGGGAGAAAAAAAATGAATGAATTAATGCAAGTGAAGACTTTGGTGTTTATTCCGTAGGCAGTGCAAATCTAGTAGACGTCTTTCAGGAGGTGAGTGACGTGGTCAGCACTTTTATTTTAGAAAGCCAGCTGGTGGCAGTGTGGGGGCTGGACTGTAGGAGGGGGCAGCAGAACTAGTTACAGGCAGTTAATTTGGTCCAGGAAATCGATGCTGCGTCCTGCGTCGGGCTGTGGGAATGGAGGAGAGGGGACCCGTGACAGGGTGTGGGGACCTTTGATCGTCTTTGGTGCCTGTTGGGGTAACTTGGTAGAGCAATTCCTTTCTAAGAAACACAGGGGCGAAGCTGGTCTGGGGAGAGCCTGGTGATACTCCGTGATGTTCTTCTCCCTCGGCAGACGTCAGCCCTGGGATGCACATTCTCTGCAGTGCCGTTGGCTCTCTGAGGAGCGACTCTGCGGCTCTCCAGACTCCCCCGTTCAGTCTTTCAGTAAGAGGGTAGTCAAGATGGCAATGTCAGTGAGGCTGATGCTTTTTCCCACAGACAGGCCCTTTGCTCTTACACACCACAAGCCACACTAAATCTTTGGTTCTCACTTGCAATGGGTACTTTTCTTCATACTGACTTCCAAAGGAGACTTGCTGTAACAGATCCTCTGCTCTGCCCACGTTCCGGACAGGGTTTACCAATAACCTGGGGATTCGGCATCTCCCTTGCTGCAAACACGCACAGGGACTCTTCTCCCTCGGGTGTCAGAGAGTCGGGTGGTCGGTGGGCATGTATCTGGAGCCCAGGAATAGCCGTGCTGTTTGGCGCTGCCTCTTGAAAACTTTCTTTTGAGGCTTGACTTATTCCTCCTTCCAAAAAGTCCCCAGCCCTCTCCAACTTTCAAAGAAAAGCCTTTCATCTCAGAGTAAACACATTCCTACCCATCCTGCTGCGGTGTCCCTTCTCTGTTCCCGAGAAGATGCCATCCCAGGCTCTTAAGCCGCGGTCCAAAGTTCCTAATCCTGTTTGTCGAACCCCGTGAAGTGAAATGCTGCACCATCTGTATAGCCAGATGCCCACCTCCCACCATCCTTCTTCTCTCTTCCAAAGGTCCAGATGCCATCGCATTACATTGCATTAATAGCTACCCTGTGGAGTTCCTGTGTGCCAGGTACTGTGTTAAACACTTCCCGTGCATTCTGTCCAACCCTTACCACCCTGCCAGGGTGAGTATTATTAACCTTTTCACAGATGAGGAAGCCAAGGCTCGGCAGTGTGGTGGACCTTAGTAGTTGAGAGCGTGGGCTTAGAGTCGCACAGACCCAGGTTGGAATCCCAACCTCGCAGTGCACCTTGGGCATGCCACTTAATCTTCATCACCTTCTTTTTCCAGATATAGGAAATGGAGATAATATAGAGAAAGTTCATGTGTTGCTGCAAAAATTTAACAGCGTATGTTATTTCACAAGTATATAAGTATTTGCTTACCTTACGCTAGACTTTGTGCCGTCGGTAAATAATAGCTCTTGGTAGATATTGTCTTCGGCATCATCGTCGCCATTGTCATGGTCATCATCCTTGTCTCAAGGCTACGCGGCCAGGGTTGAAGGTAGCCCTGCCTGGCTGTCAAGCGCTTGTTCTTTCTCCTGTCTCACAATGTTGCTCCCAAGTTCATCTTGCCTAAGACACACTGGTCACTAAGTTTGCTCTCTTGGTCTCTTCTGGGCACTGGGCTCAAGGTAAAGCTCAGTAGCCCCCCAGTCCCTTCCAGCCAATGACCTCTTTTCACTCATTGATGTGAGCAGTCCCAGTGGCCGGGCTGTTCAGGCAAGAGCTTGGGCGACTTTCCCTGACTGTCAATGTCATCTTGTCTACTCTGAAAGCCATCTTGTTGTTTATGTTACAGGATTGTCCAAAGAAAACAGGAGAGGCAGCAGAGAGGGCTGGTGGGGGTCCCTGTCTTTTGGGGTCACAGATCAGTTTGTGAATCTAGTGAATTTTACGGAGCCTCTCTCCAAAAAATGCACGTGGTAAATACTCTCAAGACGAATATTGTTAATGAGACACCTGCCCCGAAGCCCACCCAGAAATTAATTGTAGCTAAGAAATTGTGTTCCGAAAGGTTAGCTTATGTGGTTCTCTTTAGTCCTGCCACCCCTCATTCACAATCAGGAGGGACTTTTCTTTCTGTAGGGTGTTTGTATTCACAGGTTGTCCTGGTAGCATTTGGAAAAACCTGTTTTATCGATACGAGTTGCCATTTTCATTACTTTTCCATATTTGAGAAATGTGTCCATGCACTAGAGTTGGCCAGTCATTGTGATGGACCGACCTGCTGATTTACACATCAATTCAAACCACTGCCTGCGTCTAGCAGACAGGCCGGGGAGGAGTTTTGGCCCAAAATATCATCAGACTAATAGGAATTTTATTGTGATATACAGATTATAAAGGTTCAGAAGCTCAGCGTCAGCAGGGTTCAGTGTTCTAAATTGAGATACATGTAAATCTCTGCTTTTCAATTTTAAGATTTGTGAAATTTCAGTCTTAAAAAGTATGCTTCCTTTCCTTTTTTTTTTTTTTTTTTTTTTTTTATTCATTCCAATTTTCAAGGTATGGGTATAAAGGGAAGTCAGATTCCAAACACTCCGCAGTCTTCTAATTTGCTTGCAGGCCTCTCCTTGGAAACTTTCCAGCAAATTCTGGAATAAGCTTGCTGTTTCTAACAGCGATAGGAGTCATGGGTGTCGCTGCTGATGGCTTCTCCCTTTCCTGCCTGGCCTTTGGAGCCCCACGGAAAGACAGGAATGGACCTTCCATAATGGAGGCCCCAGAGCCCTTCCTCCCGCTCTGGCTACGGGCCTGTGGTGCCGATGCCCTCTGCAGCTGGGGTGTTAGGGCACAGGAACCGAATCTGTCACATGTTAGATCATTTGATGTAAAGCTTTTTCTGATGCGTACTTTTTCCTCTAAAGTTTTTCTTCTTTGCTTTTTCTAAATTATAAAAGCAACAGATGCTCACTTCAAAGCCAGGATTAGAACTTTTCACGCCTGGCTTGGAATCCCAGCTCCATGAACGCATTAGATGTGCAGCCCTGGGAAAAACATGCACCCTCTCTGAGCCTTGCTTTTCTCATTGTTACAGAAGAGGTAGTGATTTCCCCTCATACCATGGCCATGAACATCGAGAGACACTGGTATGCAGAATGGTCTTCCAGAGGTCTGGCATGGATTTGTTTACTCAATGAATATTTATCGAGCACCTACCATGAGCCAGCCACCATTCTAGTTGTCCTGGAAATACTCAAGAACAGGACAGAGGGGGTCTCTGCTCTCATGAGGCTCACCTTCTAATCAGAGGGGGGCCCAAAGAAAAGAGACCATTTCAGAAATTAAGAAATGAGGACCCCCAGATGGTAAGTGAGTTATAGGAAGGGCCACTTTAAAAATCTTTTTTTTTTTTTTTTTAACATTTATTTATTTTTGAGAGAGAGAGAGAGAGTGTGTGTGTGTTCAGGGGAGGAGCAGAGAGAGGGAGACACAGAATCCGAAGCACGCTCCAGGCCCTGAGCTGTCAGCACAGAGCCCGACACGGGGCTCAAACTCACAAACCGTGAAATCATGACCTGCGCCGAAGTCGGGCGCTTAACCAACTGAGCCACCCAGGCGCCCCAAGGAAGGGCCACTTTAGATGGGACACCCACGGGAGACCTCTCTAATGAGGCTCCGTGTTTTGTGACCCCCAGGTCCCAAACTTTCCAGCTGTAAACAGTTCTACCCCTTTCAGTGTAGGTCCCAGTTTTGAGTTTGGAAAATCTGGCCACAGAGCACCTATCAGTTCTCTTTTGGGAGAACTCACCGATTGGTTCCCCATTCGGTGTTTGAGCCTCTGCAGCTGGATCTGTGGCCTGGGGCCTTTTGCAGGCCTCCTGGGCCTGCTGGGGTTCGTGCTCCCCTCGGAGCACTCCCGCAGGAGAACTGCCACTGAAGGGAGGAGGGAGGGTGGTTGGTTTCTAGCCGAGCCCATTGTGCTTCAGCGCTGCCCTGAGCATTCTGGTTCCTAAGGAGCTGGAAGTAATTTCTCTCTCAGTGAGACCGTGGCACGCGGCAATCCCCTGATTCCCTGCATGCAGTGTTTCAAGGGCTGGTCGCGGCCACATGAAAGCTGGGCAGCCGGGGCAGCCCCAGCTTGTGCAATGGCATTTGAGCCCCAGAGCAGTCGACCTGACCGCGTCGTCCCTCGCGGGGTCTAATACGGATTTTTAAATGACCGTCTCAGTCTGCCACATCGGACAAGAGGAACCCAAACCGATCAGTGAGGAAAGCTGCTGAGTAGAAGGGCAGGCTGCCTGTGACTCACCTGTCATGTTCTTTGCTGACCCACTTTTACTTGACCTTGATTTGCTCAGTGCAGTTAAAGACGCTGTCGTGAAGGCACTTTTGCCTCCTGATGGAAGTCCAGCGTGTGACAGCCCAGGATCTCAGGCACACGCGTGACCCAGGCAGATGGACAGATGGACAGGTGGTTAGCTTCTCATCTACCTCTGAATTGTAATTCGATCACGAGGAAAGGGCTTAATTTCAAGAAAACGGAACAATTATCTCAGACTAGACACAGTGCCAAAGCGGCAGGCCCTCCTCCTTGTCACAGGGCGGCTTAATCAGAAGATGGCCTAGATGGCCGCCTTTCAAGTGGGTCCTTGCAGTAGCTTGGCAACTGGCACAGGGTCATAATTGGAAGAATTTGGCTCTGAGTGTCTGTGGGTGTTTACAGTGCACTATAGGGCCGGGCTGCTTTTATTTATAGAATATTGTGAGCAACAAGCAGCAGAAGGCTGAAAAGCCACTAAATCTCGATTTATTTTTAACAAATTCCATTTTTCCCCTCATCCCAGAAGGAGAACTGAGTTATTAAAAAACAGTAAAAAATACATCATCGCAGAGCATGCCATATCTAATTATGGGGTTGCCAGCGTCGGCCTGCAGCCACATTTTAAGGGCTTTGTAAATCAGCCATCCATTCAATCTGTGAACTTATATGACTCCTAGTCTTCATTTAGATGTAGAGCGAGATTATTGGCAAGTGAGTGCTGATCAGAAAAAGTTCTACACTGCCTAAATTAGGAGATGGGGTGTATAAATATAGAAGAGTGTACTTATGTTCTCAAAGGGAGAGAAAATCACTCCTCGCTGTCCATTATACTTAGCGGTACAAGCGCACCCGGGGCGCGCGGCGGCCAGCACTGGGTATGTGCTCCCGGGTTTTCGCTCCTCGCAATGGCAGATCCGTGCCACCCAGAGGAGCTGTAGGGTGATATCACTGAGTGATTATTACCCGCACAGTCAGGAAAGACACGCAGCTGGTGCTTCATGGCCTGTGTTCTCGTTGTGTGTCAGAGCTGGGCAAGGCGTCAGGGACCCTCTAGCTCCGAGTACATCTTAGTCTAGGTGGGGAAGCTGAGGCCCAGGGAGGAGGGCGGCTTTCCCAGGGCTCCTCAGCGAGTCATGGCGGAGCGGGGCCCTAACGGGGCCCTCCTGTGCCAGGCCCGGAGCCAGCGAGCTAAACAGATGTGATTTCTGTCCTTCAGCGTTCCCAGCCTCGGGCAGGCAGACATCAAGACGGGCCAGTGGCCGCCACGTGCTCAAGTAGACAGGGCTGTGTGAGTACAACAGCCGGCGAGTTGAGTGGGGGGAATGGTGAGGGGGACTTGGGAATCTGTGTATTGGGACACTGAGGCAAAGGTAAAAGCAGCTGCTCTCCGACCCACTTGGAAAAGCCTCATGGATGCTGGGAGGTTGCCAAAGGAGGAGGGTGCCGCACGATTGCCGAGTACTGGGGGAGGAGAGTATGGTGCCACAGTGGTGCCCGGGAAAGTAGAGATGGCGGTTTTGGAGGGGCCCTCAAAGTGGATCATTGAGGAGACTTACGGGAACACCAAAGGGAGTGCGGGACTGGAGCGCAGGCCAGGGACAGGCGGTCCAGAGCGTGTGCGGCGCCCTGCCCTAAGCGGGGATGGCGAGTGGAGCGGGGGCCGAGCCCGGCGGTTCCCGTCCTCGGGCTCCCAGGTGCTGCTCATGGTGGCTTCCTTCCGCCCTTCGGGACCCTTCTTCGTGCAGCACTCGGCTGCCAGTATCCCTGGACGGGAGCTGGCCTGTGAGCGGGCACCTGTCTCTGTCTTCCCTGGGCTGATGCCCTGCACGGTGCCTGCAGAAGTGCGCCTCGGTGTTAGTTCTCTTGTTGAGGCTGGGAGGGGGCGGGGCGGGGGGGGAGAAAGGATGAGGAAGGATGGACTGTGGAAGCTTCTGGAAAAGTCACGTCTTGGCGATGCTGGAGGCCAGTGACTTGGGAGGATGTGAGTAGGCCAGGAGGGGCGTGCCTGGGGCCTAAATTAAGGCCGTAGCAGTCAGCACGGAGAGGAGCAAGCGGGGAGGAGATACAGGAGGAAGCAGCAGTAGGGGTTAGCTGCAGAGAGCCAGGCCACCCGAGGGGGAAGGACTGCGATGGGCTGGGATGGGAACCTACCAGGCAGAAGAGATGGTCTGTCTTCCTGCCCAGTAAGTCCCCAACCACTCCAGACGGTGGTTCTCACCAATGTTGGCGGGCGTTTCCAGGAGGCAAAGAACTGAAATCGGCACAAAGAATGTCTCCGGCGTCCTCTCCATAAAATTTTTTTTTTCTTAATCGGTTTGATACGCCGCTTACCCGCTTTTGAGTTCTCAGAGTTGAGAGCATATAAATTAGCAATGACGATTATACACGAAATCCTTGGAAAATAGCTGGGTGAGCTTTTGTGTCCAGAATTTGATCATTTTTCTTGGATTGGTATCGTGGTTTTTATACCGTCTGATAATGTTTCATTGATAAAATGGTTTCTGCTTCTGAAGGATGTTTTCCATTTTTATAGTTGACAAAGGTGATACTGAAATGATGGTGGAGGATGCTTCCTGAATCCGTTTTTCAAGGAGCAGAGTATTCCCTTCCCTCTCCCCTGCTCCTGGCCATTTCCCTGTGTCCCAGCGTCTTCGCCTGTGCCCAGAGGACCAAGCACACCAGGTCAGGGGAAGTTTCGGTGGTAAAGAACACCAAAACCTTGCCAGAGCGATGGTTGGGAGGCTGCCTGTGAGCCGGAACGACCCCCGTCCTCCTGCCCCAGGCGCTGCCTGTGGAGCGGGCCCACCTGATGACTGCACAGTCCGTGTCCCCAGTAACAGTAGCTTCAGTAAATGGTGCTGTCGTTCGATTCTCCGGAGTAAGAAAATGTTGGTAGTTTGTTGCCACGGCTCTGACATCTCACGCTTTCTGAATTGCTTTGCTAGGCACCCCGCAGGTGTTCAAGAAACACTTCTGAGTTTCACCGAGCCATTGCTGGTCATGGCGTCCACTGCCGCCACCACCCCCACCCCCCAGATGGTGTTCTGAGAAAATGAAGTGAAAGTCCCGAAGGTTGTGTACGTGAAGACGGTCCAAAGTCTCTCCCCGCTTCCTTCAGGCAGCTCGGCCACACCCTGCCTATCGGCACTTACTTGCTCGTTATCAGAGTCCTAGCATGGGCCAGTGGGAAGGGGCATCAGGGGTCACTTCCTCTGGCCACCGTCTTGTGCAGGAAAACCTCATCTGTACTGTTCCTGACAGGCAGGCGGGCCCCTGGGCCTCCTCAGGCACCCACACCCCAGGCATCCTGCTCCGTCTTTTGGACACGTGTGCTTGTTAGAAAATCCTTCTTCTTTCTGACCCAAATCTGCCTCTTGGCCCTGTCTCCTCATTGACCCCCCTTTCCTTCACTAGGGTTTGTGTTCTCCAGGGCCGTCAACCGTTCTTTCTGTGACATGGCAATCAGTAGTCCCATCAACGACAGGCACCCTGAGTGCTCACCATGTGCCAGGCATTGTTGTAGGCTCTCTACGTAAGTTGCGTTCATTACCACCTCCAACCACTCTGTGAGGCAGGTACTGTCTCTATTCTCATATTACCAATGGGGAGACCGAGGAACAGAGGTCAAATCTTGTCCAGAGTTACACAAGCAAGCAGCAGAGCAGACATGTGGACCCCGGCAGTCTGGCTCCAACGCTTGTGCTCTTAGCTGTGAGGCTATAACATGTCACAGGCCGGGTGCCCAATGTAAGCTCGTGGCCCGCTAGACTGGGGCCTGGCCCTACTTTGACTTACTTTCCAAGAAATCCCTTGACCGGAGCCTGAGTCGAACCCTTTTCTATGAAATATCCTCAGGGTTTGTTTCCACACAGCGGGCTATGGGGCAGAGGCCTGTGCACGGTCATCAACAGATGGGTTCGTCCCAGTTCCGCCAGGCCCCTTGGGGTGGGTTTCGATCAGGATGACAAATATGGGCTATTTGTATTTTCTTTTCCTGAACATGAAGTCTGATGCAACGGGTTCCTTGTTTAAAGTGCTTATTCATGGTTTTGTGGCGAGAAAGCTGAGGAAGAAAGGTACCTGAGGATTATAAGTGTGGACCCCCTCTTCAGGTACCTGCTCCAATGCTCAGTCTCACAGAACAGCCCCAGAGGTTAGGGGGTAGGGGGATGTGATGGCCACCTGCCCTCCAAAGCTGGGTGCAGGGTGTCAAATACACGTTTTTGGTTTTTTTTTCTGAAGTGCATAAACCAGGAAGGGCAGGAGAGGGAGGGCTTGGGGCCAGTCTGACCTGGGCTTGAGCCTTGGCCCTGCCCCTTGCCAGCTCTGTATCTAGATGCCAGGCATTTGTGGTCTTGGTTCCCTCTTCCGTAAGGTGGAAATAGCACTGTCTTCTTATAGGGATGATTTGAAGGTTAAATAAGCAGAGGCGGACATGCCATGAAGCTGCAGTGACTGTTCTAGAGTGTTCCCCACACCTGACACTTCAAGGTTTGGTGACCAAGCCCTCGCTCGGTGTCTGGCCCTTCCTGCATGGGTGGTGTGGGCTGCAGCCCCTGGGCTGCCTGCCACCTTGTGGAGTGTGGAACGGACTGTGGAGGCATGGGCCTTCCGGGGCAGGAAAAGTCCCCGCGGTCACATTGGCTGTCCTGGCCTGACCCCTGGCAGGTCAGGCTGGGCTCCTTCAGGAGTCTTTGGCTTCATCCGGAGTCTGCTTCCTGTACTTACAAACCTCTGGGCACAGGCCACACGGTGGCTGAACCAGGAGGGCCGAGAGGCTGGGATTGAACCATCTTTCTTTTTGTTCATTGCTTTTCAGACAGCGTGCACCCCAGTTATTCATTCCTAAAGATTTAAGTAGCGAAGTGAGGGACCTGATCCCTGAGGTGCGGGCCCGGGGACCTGGAGTGAAAGCAGCTGGAAGCAATAGAGAAAGGATTGGACAAAATCTAATTTGGGGTCCTGAGCAAGGACCTAACCTCCCTGAAATGTGGTGTCTGTATCTGAAAATTAGAGGTGCTGATAGAACTAACCCCTTAGGTTGATAGGAGGAGGATTCGATGAGATCCCGTGTGAGCATAACAAAAGGCGCCTGACGCTTCTGTTATGTCTGACAATTAATAACTACAAATAGAATTTCCTTTTCTTCCACTGTTAACCCCTTCTCCTTATCAGCTCCTGACTGCTGTTTGTTTTCCTATATGACTTTGGATAAAGATCTTAGTGATGCTTTGCCCCTTTGTAGAAAACCTAGAGTTGAACCAACTGCTGGTTCTGAATGGGCACGTAGCGCCCCCTGTAGGACGTCTTTGGGATGTGTAGGGCGATTCGGCCATGACAGGGATGGTCCTGGTCAGGGCTGTCTTCCAGGAAGCGGATTTGCTGGATGTCACCCATGGAGACCAAAGGATTGTCCAGCATCCTACACAACCTCCTGAAGTTCAGTGGGCACTCATGGAGGTGGAACCCTGTTGACCGAGCCTGGAATCTGACTCACTTTACACCTAAACACACATAATTTTTGCATGCTTTTAATATATACAGAATTTTCCAGGAACACAACCACCAAGTATATGAGGTTTACTATGCGTTATAAATAGGTCCAAGCACCTCATTAGATCTTTCATCGTGTCTTCTGGAGTAGCTGTGCCCAACATTTGCATATTGACTCTGTACGTAGTATCTTATTTTAACCAACTTATTTTTTGTGTGTTATAGTCAGGGTATTATGCAGATTGTGTTTGAAATTATGTGTTGGTATGTTATATTATTCACAAATTTCAGGAAAGTGAAAAGAATATTAAAATATTTGTCTAACTTTTGCAAGTATGAGAGAGGGAGTGTGTGTGTGTGTGTGTGTGTGTGTGTGTGTGTGTGTGTGTGTGTATTAGCTTATAAATTAGCTGGAGAAACCTTAGGATAAACCTGAAGTGAAAAGAAATGGTTTCTTTGAATAAGTTGAAGGGAGACGTAGTCAAATGTAGAAGGATGGGTTAAATATACATACCTAGACATATCTTTTTTAACTTTAAAAAGAACAGGTCACAACTAAAGGGAAACAGAAAGGTATGCAGCAAAGGAATGGGGTCAGAATACTCCACATAGCCCCCACCGTGCCTAGGATTTACATGCTCATAGTAAATATGAAAGCTGAATATTCATCTGCCCAAAATAATTATGCAACTTTGTTGGCTGAATGGGAGGTTAGGTTCTTATGCATGCCTATAATGACAGAGGTAATAGAAGAGAGGTGAATTTCCCTCTTCTGTGGCGAGAAGTGAACAGATC